CTTCTTCTCTGAGCCTTTGATCTTTTCCTATTTAACCATATTTTTCCATATATAACACTCTCCTGTGTACATCCGAGTTTTTGGCCCAAAATTTCAGAAAAAAATCCTTCATTTTAATTTTATAATTCGTAATGTTATTTGTTTATATTTAGATATTTCTTTTTTGTATTATAAAAAATTGTAAAAATATCAGCTATATTGCTAGCTTCCACCTAAAGTATGAAGAGAAATAGATTGCTCTTCATTGGCTGAAAATACTTCTGTTGCAAGTTCACTATAAGGTCAATACAACTGATTACTGCATTCCAGGGTACTATTTTGCATACAGATACCATAATTTCTTTCTGGGGTTAAACTTTTAATGTGTAAGTATAAATAAAAAAATTATAAACAGTTATATAAGTACTGAATTAGTACCACCCATGTATAACACATGCATCCTTATTTTTCCTTCAAAAATTTGGGCAACTATGGGAGCACTGTACACTGGCATGTGTGTGGTAGATCACGTACATGGCAGTTGAGGGATCTTCACTCCACTTAATGTTGACCATCATTTTTCTTAAGTTTTCAGAAACCTCCCAGCACCATACAAGCACTTACTCCTATGGCACTTGCCCATGCGTAAAATTCTGTATTATGGGAGAGTGTCCCCACACTGACAAACTCTAACTTATCTGGCTTTGAGACCCACTCCCAGGCACATTCTCCTAGTTCCTTCTGACAATGTTAGCTGGGTCCTACACTTCCCAGGTTGAATTTCTCTCCTTTCTGAGTAGCCCAAACATTTTCTTAGTCAGTTCATGCTGAGATTTGACCCAACCTATTGACTTGCTAACTATAGGGGAGGGAGATGTGGGCATGTCTTGGGGAAGGTTTTATGGCCTTAAAAGGCACCTACTTTATTTGGGTCCTCTGCATAGTCTACAAGCAGAAAGGGAGAGGCTATCTTATAACTAGGGAAAATGGATTAAGTGTATAGGTCCTGTGGGTTTAGGGGTATCCAAGGTCAAGTACATTCATCCAGATAGCCTCATCCCAATTCCACAGGTACCACTCCTTCCATCAGTTAGTAAGGAGAAATAGAATTTTTTGGTGCTATTTAAGTGGATTTCTTTATGTACTATTGTTTTTTTTTTTTTAAAGGAAGTACTTTCCAAGAGAATAAATATAAGTCCATTTCAAGAGCTCAAATACATTAATTCCAATTGACTAATAAGCAAAGTAGTCCATCTATTTTACTATTTATACCACAAATTAAATAATACATTTATCTTATATGTGATTTGTTTGTTTTTTAAAGATGCATCAGAGAGTATATAGTACTTTGGGAAGAGTGGATATAGTAAATAATAATGTATTGTACATAAGCACCTTTTAGTAGAAGACTTGTAACAGATACAAATTAATTCTTTGTTGAAGTTCTCCTGTTTTTTTACTGGGAGGTCCTAAACCTCTTTCTCAGCATCCTTAGCTCCCCTCCCCCCCCCCACCAGCTACCTGAGAAAAGAGTTTCTTTAGAAAATAACAAGGAGGACTCTGGCTTTCACACTTGGATTTGTATTGGGATTGATTGCCTTGAGCTTTCTTTTTCAGCTAAGGATGCTTCTTAGCCACCCAATTTTACAATCCTTATTGCCATTTCCACTGTACCTCTCAGATGTCAGAGATACTACACAAGCTAGTGCATCTCCTCCTATGTTTCATGGCAATTTACCAGGTGAACAATGGAAATAGTTACTCTGTAACAGCAAGCAGGGGGGCTATCAATACTCCCCCTATTATCAATGATGTGATCTAAACTGCTAGTTGGCCATCCTTAGAGTTCACTTCCTAGGGTATAATTGGTCAGTCCATTGTCTTCCATTAGTTTCTCTAGAAGGGATTCTGGTGCATATGAATTTTTGAGGACATGCTTCTCTGGCAAAAAAATAAGGAAAAGAAGCAACCAGAGAGGGAGAGAATGGAGCTTAAGCAAGGACATAGCCTTCACCAGATGGTGGGTTCCAGACTGTAAATTGTACCATAGAGCCATCTGGACTTGAAGCAAGGGATCAAGGCTTTTGTACCCCAATACCAATCCAATACTGGTTGCTCCTGGGGCCTGGGATATAACTTCCTAGGTGGATCTGGTTGTTGTGGCTCTTGTCCTCCAGTGCACTTTCTGGCAAACATCACAAGTAGAAGTCACTGACTGAAGCATCAGCAGCATCAGCAGCATCTGGAGGGAGAGTAATTGTCCTCAACAGATTTACTACCAAGTGGCTGAGTCAGTCAGTGTCATCTTAACATATAATTGTCATTAGCCAGTAAGTGGGAATTACTTCAGTATCAAGAAAAATCTTAGAGTTTGGAGTTGGTCTGCATACATTTTTGTGTAGCTACTAATTATCTAAAAAAATTAGAGCTGTTTATTTAATCTACTTGAATCTGTTTCCTCAGTCTGTGCAATAAGGAAGATAAGAACCATAACACAGAATTTTTTGAGATTAATTATGCAATTTATGTAAAATTCTGGTGTATTACATATGTGAAAATTTAAACCAGGTGAATATAACCTGTTGGTTAATCATTATTTTCTTGAGGTAAATTTATTTCAAGTTAATGTGAAGGTACAAACAACCAGATCAAAATCTTTGATTTTGTTAGGATTGTCCCTCTTGCAGTTATTTCCTACACACAAAAGGTGTGCCAAACACCCCCAGCCCACGCCCATTCAGTGAGAGCACCCCAACCCCTTCTCCCCCTTCTCCCTCTTTCCCCCTCCCTCCAACTTGAAATGAAATGAGTTTTTCTCCTCTGTGGGCATACATCATAGTAGTACTGGCTTCATAGTAGTATTGAGTACATTGGATAACTATAACTGCTTTCCTTTCTTGTGATATTTTACTAAGAAGAATGTGTTCCAACTCCATCTAGGATATTATAAAAGATATGAAGTCACCATCCTTTTTGTGGCTGAATAGTATTCCATGGTGTACATGTAGCCCGATTTGTTAATCCATTCCTGAGTTGATGGGCATTTAGGTTGTTTCCACTACTCAGTGACTGTAAATTGAGTTGTGATAAACAATCTAGTGCAAATATGATAAAATAATTTTTTTTCTTCTGGGTAGATGCCTAGTAATGTGATTGTGGGATCAA